TTGGGTGTCCACATAGATCCTAAACTCCGAAACCCTGTTAGCCCGAAAACTAAGGCATCGTTGGCTCCCATGGCGTTGTTGTCTCCAGACGCTCAAGGCAGAATTTTGGGGCCGTTTTTTGGGGTTCAGGGTTTATGGGGGTGCGAGGGGTCTAGGGCTTTTGGGTTTTTTCGGTTTAGGGTTTCAGGGGATTGGGTTTTGGGATGTAACTAGGGGTCCAGAACTTATATAGGGGGTTGGGGTTCAGGGATTTATGCGGCAGTTTGTTTCAGCGGTTCCGTGAGGGAGTTTCAGACAACTGGGGGCCCTAACGTAGATGCTGCATAGAAGGATGCTCAAGGGTACATCAGCCGAGATCGCTGTTGCTGCACGCCGACCTGTTCTGACACGTGTCGTAGCTAACTGGCATCTATTCGTAGATACATGGACCAGTTTTGGTTTGTTCTCTGAAATTTAGTTGTCGACACCGCCAAAACCACTAGCTTGCTGTAGCTTGGCAGGGCTCAGCATTTGCCATCCCAGCTTGGGCCTGGGAAGTGGTGTGTGCTGTCCCTACACAGGCATACTATAATGCCCGAAAGCCCGATACACATCATTAAGAGCCCCATATAATTAACAAACTCTTCGAGTCACATGGTTGGGTTTAGGGTTTGGGGTCTAGGGTCGGTTGTTGATTTTCTTCCAGGCCCATGTACTATTGTCCACATTTACTTTCGAACACTTTGGTAGTGACTTGCGAATGGCCTGCGTCCGCTGAGCATTTAGCGTTAGGGTTCAGGGTTTTGGGGTTTAGGGTTTAGAGAGTTGCTCTCGCTTCCTCTTTGTCGTTAAAACGTGGGGCCTTTGGAGAGCTACGCTAACCCTTAGAAATTAGAATAGGGTTAGGGGGGCTCCTGATTATATTTGTAGCACAATATACCCTGAAACCCTACTCTAATCATTAAGGCCCCGACATTAGGCCATGTCAAGAGGTCTGCTTCCGCTGAGCTACCTCCTGCCGCCTCTTTGTGCCACCGATGCCTTCCCGGGAAGCCATCCGCAGCAAGAGCCCAGAGCTGAGTTTGCCTCTCCCTTGCCTTGGGGGTTTAAGGCATTTAGGGTTTGGGGTTTAGTGCTTTTGGGTATCGGGCTTAAATCTTTTTGTAGGGCTCAGGGGTCTAGGGGTTCAGGGTTTGGGGTTTGGTGTTTTTGTGATATATGAGTTCAGGGTTTAGGGTTTCGGTGCTCTTAAGTATTTCTTGAGTTTGCTTCAGCCACGATGCGCAGCACAACGGGATTCAACAACAGATTGGCATTCAGGAGTTCTTTCCGGGCCTGGTGTCAAGCTTACAGGATTATCGAGCAGCCGTGAACAGAGACGCTCAGTGTCACCAAATCGCCACCACCACACCATACCATATGGGGATCCTACAGACACTGCAGAACGCCTGCTTTGTGTTAGTGATGTATTCCCAGCAGGCCCAACATGGGTCCATAAAGCAAGATACTGCATACTATAGGAGCCCAAATAGTTGCCAATACTAGTTGGGGGGGGTTCCTTTTTTTAAGTATAGTATAGCATACCCTAAAACCCTATTAAAGTTCTTGAGGCGCCTACATTATGCAAGTTTCCGTTAGAATCCTATTCAGGGTCCGCTTTCTGGCTCAAAGACTTACGGAGGGCGTGGGCCCTGGGTGCTCTGGGCTTAGGATCATTTTGGGGTTTAGGGCTTCAGGGGTCTAGGGTTTAGGGGCTTTGGGTTTGGGGGTTTAGGGTTTTGGGGTTTATTGGGGTTTAGGGTTTAGGGCTTTGGGGGTTTAGGGTGAGCTAGGGGTTCAGGGTTTAGGGGCTTTGGGGGCTATGGTATTTTAGAAAGATAACCACTAGGACCCAGAGTAAGCCCTTATTCTCTTTTTTGGGGTTCTTTAAACCAAAAGGGCACCCATCTTATTTCTAAGTTACTCTTGGGTCTAGACCAGGCTCCTTCTCTCGCTGATGATGAGCCTGCACACCCTCTGTTCCCGGAGTCCAGAGGCATCGGAGGGGCGCTGATGGGGCTCGTTACAGGGAGTTAGACTGTTGTATAGCGTTTCAGATATCATAAGGGTGGTAGACAGGTTTGCGAGGGAGTGCATAAAGTTTCAGAGAAGTTGCATAGAGGTGTGACTGGGTTTTGCAGCGGTTGTACATGAGCTTTGAGGGCACGTTCGATCATATGAACAAGATCCAAGGTCTGTGCCGCAGCTAAACGTGAATCGGGGTCTCCATGTCAGTGACACCATCCATCTGCCAATCTAGAAGCATGCCGTTTTATTCAGCTATATATGATGCAGGGCTGCCACACCCTCCCTCCCCCCCCCCACCCCATGGTATCCTCCCCCCTTCCCCCCCGCCCCCCCTGTGGTGTGGGGCCTGTGGTGGTACTCTTTTTGCTGCGACGTTCTTATGTGTTACTCCTTGTTTTCCCTCTTGCTGTGGCACCGGTGATACTGCTCATGATGTTGTGCTGCTCTAGACCGGGACATGAGTCGACAATCAGACCATGCTCAACATCATCCTTTTCGTCGTCATCTTCATCATTAATACCTTCAAAAGAATATCTGCCACCATCACCATCCCTCATAGTTCAGCATTGCAATTCATGTCAGATGCTGGAAACTGCTGAGCCGATTGCCGCTTTCCGCACACGGCAGGGCATAGTGCGACACTCCCGATCCGCGCACAAGGTCAAGGGGCGGGCGGGGGGCGGGCCGGGGTGAGCAGGGCAGCAGGGGTGGGGTAGGGGCCGGGGGGGATACCATTGGGGGGGGGGTGGCGGCCCGGGACCCCAGAGCACATTCCCCCCGCATCCAAGCCGAAGACAAAGACTCGGGTTTAGGTGTAGGGCGTAGGGTCATATGGGAGAATGCTTTGCCACTGATATTCCCGTGTGCAAATGCAAGTGGCGGGCGGCTTAAAGCAATGGAATCCATGATAAGAATGCAACTGCATGTCTCTTCATTTTTAACAGGCAGTTGCGCAATATTACGGCATCGTGCCGACATGCAAATGAAAAAACTTGGCAGAAAGCCAGATTTTGAGAGGGTTCGTCAGGGCATGCGGCAGCAATATAAACCACTTTTTGAGTGAGGTGACCTTCTTGAGACTTTTTTTCTGCTGATTGGTTTAGAGTTTAGTAGTTTAGTGATTCTTTAGAATGGGTGGTCCCTGCAGAACCCGACCTGCTGTAGAGGCCTGGAAAAGCAGCAAACATGTTCCTGTATAGTCTGTATACACTGACACCGTCATCCAAACACTCCAAAAGCCTAGTCTGACCTAAACCCTAAACCCCTAAACCCCTGAACCCTGAACCCCCACACCCCTGAACCATTCATCTGCCAGAACTCTCGAACCTTTCATACTGACCATATCTATAAAGGCCCTTTTTTCGCCCCAGGTCCGGCAACCCCTGACTGAACCCAGAACCGAAGCCTTCAGGGCTTTTCAGGGGGTTTAGTTGAGGGGTTCGGGGGTTTGGGTTTAGGGGTTCGGGTTTAGGGTTTAGAGGTTTAGGGTTTACAGGGCCCTCCCTAGTGGTGGAAGCTTGAAGGCTGCATCATGAAGCCATGCCTTCCAAAACGCTTTGGGTCTGAAACCCTTGTGCGACCCTGTTTCAATCATCCAGGCCCCTAAGCCCGAAACCCTTCATACCCTATATAAGCCCTAAAAACCTAAACCCAGACCCAACACCCTAAATCCTAAATCCCAAACCCAAGGCCTACACCCATACACCTTCAACAATACATTTGTTAAGGATTATAATCCTGAACTCTTCATAGACCCAAAACCCTAAATCCTAAGCCCTAAACCCTCAGCAATAAACTCTTAAGTAAGGAACTCTTAACCCTAAGGGTCCCAACAAATTGGGGAACCTCAAAATTGAGGGTTTCTGAGACCCCAAAGAGACCCAAGGACTCTCCCTAGGACATTCCGGACCCTCCCAAGGAGATACCTGGACCCTTAGGGAAGTAAGGATTTCAAGTGCACAGGACCTGGTCTCCTCGTTGCGCCAGGGCGAGGTGCTGGACTTTGTATGTTAGGGTTTAGGGCTTAGGGTCCTTTAAGGGGCTCCCTTTAAAGGGGTCTTTAAGGATTACTATAAGGGGTATTGTGGGGGTTTAGTATCGGGGCCTTTATCGTTACCTATACTATTTTCGGGAGTTTAGGGTTTAGGGTCTATGGTTCAAAAGTGTAAAGGTTTAGGGACGAGTGCTTGAAGCCGGGCGTAGTGCAAGACGCACCGCATGCAGTATCTGCTTGCCCAGCTCCTTGATTAAACCCTGAACCCTATATGGGTGGTTGTCAAAATGAGGGTCCTTTTTTTGGGGGTACCCTAAATATAAGGTGCCGTATTATGATAAGGACCCAACAAGGGACCATAATTTTGACAACCACCCATATGCAGGTTTACGGGTCTATGAGGGCTCAGAGGCGTTCGGGTTCTCTATGTTTGGCGGTTTTGCAGCGTCGAGCTCACAGCTGGGGGTCGGTGGCTCCTTGAAGCTACCATGAGGTTTGAGGATTCCCTAAACAACCTTACACCGTGAACCCTTAACCCTAAGCAGCCCTGAACTTCAGCCCTAGACCCTTAACCCTAAACAACCCTGAACTGAAACCCTAAGCCTGTAACCCTGAACAACCCGTAACTTAAACCCTTATCCCTAAACAACCCTGAACCTAAGCCCTAAACCCTTCAGCTGCAGTTTTCCTCATCGACTTGCTGCAGCCATTGCGTGGCCTGGCAGGGTTTTCGAAGATCGGAAGCCCTGTAGCTTCTGGACGACATGAACCTTAACAGGCTTGAAGGTTCAGGTACCATATAGGCCTATAGGGAATCATAGTATATGGGTATATGGTTCAGAGACTAAAAAATAGAATGCCATATACGGCTTTAGGGAATCCTTGTAGCATTCGGGTGGTATAGGCGGTATAGGGCCCCCTACTTTAAGGGGTGTTGGTTGGTGTTTAGTGGAAGTGGATCATGAGTGCGGAGTCCTGCATGGGCAACATCCCAAAGCCTTGGCACGACGACGTTTTCGCATCACTTCTTGAACCTTGCGGGTTTAGGGATTAGGGTTTAGGGTTTAGGGATTACATTTTGGGGTTTAGGGATTAGGGTTTGGGAATGTTTCTTGAACCTTCGTAGCTGAGTGGATACACTTTACACTTTTTGGGGGATAAGATTACCCACTCTAAAACTGAAAGTGTACACTTTATGGGGGGCTTCTGAACTTAGCAACTAAGGAACGGCTACGAGCAGAGCACGAGCTTCGAGTGAGTGCTCTGAGCATCAAGGTTGAAGAGCTCGAAACTTGGCGTTCTTCTGGTTGGCTCTTGGGACTTTAACTTTTTGGGTCTCTATATTTGAACCAAAATAAGGGGCCTAAAAGTTTAACTTTTAGGAGGGGTCCAGAAGTCAGCCAAGGAAACCAAACTGGGCAATGCAAGGCCGCAGCAGAACGAAGGCTCCCCACCTCGAGACGAGGCCGTAAGTGCCTCTTCTCCTGTGTGGAAAGAGCCTGGTGCCACTGAGCTTTGGAGTATCCTACTTCAATGCTTTTTTCTTAAAGGAATCATTCTGAAATTCTGAAATAAAAGTTGTTTGTTTTCTCCCTGGTTACTTAAAAGCCCAGGCCACGAAGACTTCGCCTCCGCATGAGGAAGTTTCTCTTACCGCAAGCGAGGCTTCGCAATTCTTCCATCTTGGCATTCACAAGCAGAGCGGCTGGCAGGCTGCCTTTGGCAGATATCGAAGCTTTGTGCAGCGCCCGGGATTTGAGATTTTCTTTGCGAGCCTCATCGTCGTAAACACCATGGTGATGGCAGTGGATGTACAGGTTGTTGGCATCGACATCGGTGCGCACCTTCAGTTTCTAGCTTGCTCAGTGGGTTCACATTTCTACCACAATAGCACAACAAGCCCACAAAACTATCCATCTTTGCCAATGTTCTCAAAAGCCTAGGTTTGCATCATATCAGCCAACAGCTGTAACTACACCTTGGGTGCGGCCTCTGATCGATTCATGCGATTGGTTTTGTGGTGTCGCCTTCACCATCGAGATACTGATGAAGTGCGCAGCAATGGGCCTAGGCTTCTTCAAGGACCCCTGGAACTGGGTTGACACTACCATTCTCTGCTGTTGGTACATAGATGTCGCGGACAGTGGTCTTATCCCCGTAAACGCCTCGCTTCTCCGCTTGCTGCGGCTCCTGCGCTTATTGCGCTTGCTCAGGCTCGTTCGAGTCATAAAGGCTTTCGACTCATTGTACCTCATCACCACGGCCTTGAAAGGCAGTGTTCTGATATTGACTTGGGCCTGCGTGTTGCTGCTCGTCTTACAGGTGCTGGCTGCTTTGCTCTTGAACCAAGTTCCTTTGTCGTGGTTGGGTAACATTTATCATTTGTATGGGTACTTAAACCCAATAAGGAATACAAATTTAAATTTATAATCCTACCCCAACCATGAACTAGGTTCTCTTTGCCATGTACTTCTCCAACGACAGATATCCTATCAACGAGCGGCTGCAGGTCTTTGCATACTTCGGGACCTTTACTCGGTCCATGCTTTCGATGTTCGAGATAACGCTGGCTGACTTCCCTGAAGTTTGCAGGCTCTTGACTGAGAACCTAGGATGCCCAGCAGTACCCTTATTTCCTTTTTGTAGTCTTAGGTTCCTTATTAAGTTACCCAATAGTAAATTACCAAAAAGGGAGCCCCTTTTATTCCTAGCTTACTGGGCATCCTAGGAATGTATCGGAATGGTTTATGCTGGTCTGTATTACTCACAAACTGATCATTGGCTTTGCAGTGGTCAGCGTCATCAACGGCGTGTTCATCGAAGAGACCTTCAAGGTCGCTGCATCGGACAACTTCGTCACTTTGTCATAGTTGGGTAACACTTTACATTTTTATGGGTACTTACACCCAATAAGGAATGAAAGTTTAAGTTGTTCATCCTATCCCAACCATGAACTAGGTCATGATGCGGGCGAAGGAAAAGACAGCCAAAACTCATGAGTTGAAGATGATGCAGCTGTTTCTTGGCCTAGAATTTGGGATCCTCAGCAGCGGGGAGGTACACAGGAAGGGCTTCGGGACATCACCGAAACAAGAGGTTCCCACAGGTTTATTATAGGGCCATAATTTGAAGAAACTAGGGTTCTGGGGTATGTCATACTATGTATACAGGAAATCCAAGGAATCATTTTGGTATTAAAGCATCTGAATGAGAGACCCTGCCCCAATCATGCCTAGAGCTGGGACTCAGGTTTGGCCTTTCATCCATGTGTGTGTATTACCCATAGGCTCCACAGTAGTTCCCTTGTGGGATTCGTATTTAGAATCTTATATGGTAATCCCCAAAAAGGAACGACTATGGAGCCTATGGGTAGGGCACGGCCCAGGTTTCTACAAGCTGACATCGATCAAGACGGTCTCGTCAGCAGGGAGGAGGCTTGGGGGAACTTGGAAACCTTTTTAGTTTTTGTTTTCTAGAATCCTTAAGAAACAACTAAACATAAGACTAGCAATTTGTCACGGTACCGTGTTTAATTGTTTAGGGTTTCGGGACACCCTAAACCCTAAACCCTTCCCAAAGACTCCAATATCCCGTAATTAGGGAATATTCCGTAAGTCATATGAGGGATCCTACTACAATTTAAGGTATGTTCCTTAATTAAAGGATGTTGGAGTCTCTGGGTTCAGCATAGGAGTGGCGCAAGCTCCTGAGCCATCCCGCTGTCCAGCTCTGGATCGGCTCGATGGATTTAGATGCCGAGGATGCCTTTGTCATAGTTGGGTTTAGGGTTTAGGATTTAGGATTTTTATGGGCCCGACAAGGAAAAGATTAGATTTTTAAATCCTATCCCGACCATGAACTAGATGCTTGGTGATCATTCGGAAATAGTTGCCTTAGGAACCCCAAGCAGGGATTAGTTATTTTGTGAGATCAGCGGGTCTCATCGGTAGACTGGGCTTAGATCCCAATACCTAACCTTTAAACTCTTTGGGTTCTTGTAGTTTAGTAGGAGTCGGAAAGTTTAACCTTTAAATTATGTGGCTTATTGGGGTAGTCAGTAGGCCCTTCTAGAGCATCGAATCTTGATCGTCCAAGCTCTGAAGCAGCAAGACATGTTTGGAGTTCCTGAGGGCTTCCAAGACCAGCTCAGGATAACAATGGTCTCTGTGAAAGTCCTAAACTCCTAAACACTAAACCCCAAACCCTAAAGGATAGCTGATGGTCTCTGTGAAACCCTAGACCCAAAGCCCTACAGGATACTGATGGTCTTTATGACCTCATCCGTGACGACTTCCATGACAGCAGACTACAAGGCCTCACGATGGAGGAGCTCGTACGGGGTATCTTGGTGGCTGAAAGGTTTAGGGTGTAAGGTTTAGGGTTTGGGGGCCCTCTTGACCTTTTGGGGAATAATACCGCATATGTGGAACAAAGAGTGTACACTTTGTTGCTTATATGAACTCCGCAACTAAGGTATGGGTCGACTGAAGGGAACAGCCCGGAGCTACGACATGCAGCTGCTCCTACGACAAGTAGGCTCTCTGATGAATCATGTGGAGAGGCTCAATCGCGGAGTCATTTCAGGCAAGCACGCCGAGCCCCTTCCCGGAAGCCATGCAGAAGACATAGGCAAGGAAGGTGAGGCTAGGCAGTTAATGCAAGGTGTCGCCTGGCGATACTAGTAGCACAAAAAGCAGGTCTACTCCGGCCTCAGCCCCTGCACGACATGACATACGTGTGTTTACGTTAATGCAAAGCGCTCTGCTGATCCTATCCTACGTACCACTGGAATGAGATTTCCATGACCCTTCTTCTGGTATTACGAAGCATATCGAATAAGGGTGTTGAGCTCTCTCGACACGAATATCCCATGCCAGTCCCTTGGACCGTATCCTACCCAATGCCCCAGAACATTTCAGAACATTTGTTGTAATTGTGAAGGCCCGAGGCCCCTGTCTCAAACTGTCTGGTTCTGAGTAGGGAATGGGGGAATGGATGATGGAGACCAGTACAGTATTGGGGATTATATAGGGACTACTATAGGGGTCCTTTCCGACATTCCCTACTAAGCACCAGACAGCAAACCGAAGCATCTGCTGGTTCATCGACCTCCTACGGAGCTCTATACGAGAAGCCACCCAGGCTGTAGTTTACGGCTCCTGGGTGTTGAACACAATGCCCTTGAATAAGCCCTGTAAACCATAAAACTCGCACAAGCCCTGCAACCCTATGAGATCCTATAAGCCTTATGCCCTTAACCCCAAAACCCTAAGCCTCAGAAGGAAGAATTCGAAACCCAAGACTGCTGGGTTCAGTCGAGCCCAAAACCTCGAAGTAGGCCCCGAAACCCGTCAGTCCACCCAAAACTTTAAATTCGAAGCTTCGGAGAAGCCCTGAAATCCCAAACGAAACTCTCGCCCCAAATGGGTGGTTGTCAAAATTATGGTCCCTTTTCGGGTCCTTATTATAATACGGTACCTAATATTTTGGGTGCCCAAAAAGGTGCCCTAATTCTCAAGGCAAGATCCAGAGCCCTGCAACCCGGAACGATCCTGGGCACACCCGAAACCCCAACCCCAAACGATTCTATCGTAGACCGGCTTGAACCGCCCTACCCATAGGCCCCATAGCAGTTCCTTTTTGGGATTAACTTATAGAGTTCTAAATAAGAACCTCAAAAGGAACTACTATGGGGGGCCTATATGGTAGAGACCTTCAAGAACCCTTCAAGGACGCTCGAAGGACCCTAAAAGGATCCTTATAACAAACACATGAAGGACCCGGAAAAGACGCCCCTACAACCCTAAACCCTGAACCCCTACACCCCTGAATCCTAAACCCTAAACCCTAAACCTTAAACCCTAAACCCTAAACCCTAAACCCCTACACCCGAAACAAACGCTAACCCCGAAACCCAGAAGGAACCGAAAAGCCCCGACCTTGGACTCACCCTCAATGGCACGAGGCCGCCAGGGTCCTTCAGCTTGCGCTCAGGCCTACATGGGCTGCTGGAGGGTTGGGGGGCTACTTCGAAAAGCTTGAGGCTGGAAAAGGCCGACATGCAGAAAAGTCAGCCTTAGTCATGTGTTATATAACAACATATTAGGGTAGGTAATCTGCTACCTGTTTGGGCTATTGAAACAATTACGATAATACTACAATACCAGAATACTTTAATACTATAACACTATAATATACTATAATTAAAACCCCTACATAGTCCCAAAGGGGATGCTGAACGGACCTAGAACGGTGGTTTGGGGCTGCCGAACTATTTTGGGGACTTATACAGAGACCCGAACTTCGAGAACTACCCATCTAGTAGAATGTAGGGCTCTTTAGTAGGAATTACCTTAAGGGTCCTAACAAAATGGGGAACCTCAAAATTAAGGGATTCTGAGACCCCAAAGAGATCCAAGGACTCTCCCCAGGAGATTCCGGACCCTCCTAAGGAGATACCTGGACCCTTAGGGTAATTACTATACGGTTTGCGTAAGTCTCCCCCACTAGTACCTGGGGCCCATAGGGAGGGACTATGCTTTTGGGCTGCGAGTTTGGAGTATAAAAGGGTCCTGGACCCAGAGCCTCCAAAACCGCTTAATTGAGGAATATACCTTATACTATACTAGGGATCCTATTATGATTTAAGGTATATTCCTAAATTAAGGGGTTTTGGAGGCTCTGGGGAATTGGGAATCCCGAAGGGTCCAAGTACCTAAATATGAGCTCTCCAACATAGTAACCTACATAACTACTATCTTCAACTCAAGTACCTGATTATTGGGTCCTTTGGACCCTTGGGGGATAGTTCGGGCTTAGGGTTTTGGCCTGGTGCAAGTTGGGGTTTAGGGGTTTAGGGTTTAGGAGTTTAGGGTTTAGGGGTTTAGGGGTTTAGGTTGGGGTTTAGGTGTTAGTTTACAGGGTTCATATAGGGGAGAGTATCCACTACATGCGACATGTCCGGCGCTGGTGCTATGGATATCATATTGGACAAAAAGAATGACATGATGAACAATATATATGGTCATTCGAAGATGTGAGCAGTCTTTTCATAAGGCATGATACTGTTTTGATGGCAAATCAAGGTCCCTGTCTACAATTTCCCACCAGTAGCAATGGCGATCGAGCAACAGCATTGTGAAGAAATGTCTTGTTTCAAGATCAGTTCGTTTCTTGGATGATGAAGTTGAGGATGGTAGTCCTGCTGATCGGGGATGGCCGGATGGTTTTCAACAGCCCAAGCAGGGTTACCCTAAGGCTCCATGTAACAGTTGGTATTTACTTGGGTCTAAATGATTCCAACCATTCTCCCTGGGCTTTCGGGCTTCGCCGCATGAACAAAAAGAAGCCCAAACCCTACTACAAGCCCTAATCCCTCAACCCTCAACCCTAAACCTGAAGTGCTAAACTCTCAACCCAAACTGTCTAACCCCCACCCCCACAAGCCCTTTCTGGGAGGACGCTTTGCGACCGGCGTGCCAGGAAGGAAGCTCTTTGCCCTGTCGAGGTCGGCACTTCGGGGGTGTGAGGGTCAGGGTTTACTAGGGTTTCGGGTTCCTTCTACGGTTTTCTGGTTTCAGGGTTTAGGGTTCGGGGGTTTACGGTTCAGGTGGAGTTTACTAGGGTTTAGGGTCCCTTTTAAGGGTTGTTTCGCCAGGGTTCTAAAGGCCGCCATAAAGGTTACAAGGGTTCAAGTTTACTGTATTAGGACTTATGGTTCAGAGTTCCGTAGGGTTGAAGAGGGGGTTGTTTGGGGGGTTGAGTGTCTACCATTTTGAGGTTTAGGGTTGAAAGGTCTGCTGAGGAGAAGGAAGTGGGCTCAGGGCTGTAGGGTTAATTCTTGCGGGGTTTGAGTTTAGTTCAGGTTCAGGGATTCAGGGTGTCGAGTTTAATTTTGGGTTTCAAGGTTACGGGGCAAAAGATTTCAGAGGAGAAGTGTTTGAAGGGTAAAATTTTAAATTAGGCGGCGTGTGGTTTCAATCGGAGTGGTTTTGGGGCATGGGTTTAGATTATGCAATGTTTTTGAACTTTCAGGTTTACGGCACCTTAGCTAGATTAGATGTAGTCATATCCCCAGTAGACGCGTCTAGTGGTGCTCAACATATTCGTGCTCTTGTGGACGTCTTATCATGAGTAATTAAGGTGCGTCTGGCAGGATGAGCCCTCTACGATCCCGGTACCCCGAGGGTCCAAAGGACCCAATAATCAGGTACCTGGATTTAAGATGGTAGTTATGTAGGTTAACACATGCGGGATGTCTTATGCTTATTAAGTACTTGGACACCTAGGGGTAGAACCGCGTTTTTTTTGAAAGAACTTCAAGCACCCCCGCCCCAAAGTCCCTGAGGCCCCAGACATGAGTTTGATTTTGTTGCGACAACTTAGGGGCCGGGTAGGTAACCCTGAAGTTTCTGGGGCTCATACAGTCCTACTATCATTCGAAAGCCCTAAACTCGAAACCTTTCTTTGGGCTAGGTTAACTTCCGCTAAACCCCGAAACCCCTAAACCCTGAACCCTTAAAACCCCTTCCCAAAGCCCAAAGAATGCCCCTCTGTTCGTGCAGGAGCCAGTTCTTGATGTCACCAGCTGCCGGGATCCCAGAAGGTTGAATCCAAAGCCCGCGTCATAGTTTAGGGTTTAGGATGTCTGGGCTTTATTATAGGGGTAGTAGGTATATAGGGGCCTGCATATTTACCAATACCATTTTGTTTTGGGGGGGGAGGTCCTTATTGTAATTGAAGTAGAGTGGGCCCCAAAATCCTAGTCTACTTATAAAGACCCCCCCACTTGAAGGCCAAAGCCCTCGTCGCACTTGCGGGTTGTTTTCAAAGGTCCAGCCTAAATCCTAAACTAAACCCATTAAACCCCAGAACCCCAAGCCTCTCCGCACTTGAATCAAGGATGTCCGTAGCCGGTCTGTCTCAAGCACCGTGTCATGTCATTTATGCGTTCTGTCTCAACTGTCCTGCTGTAGCTATGCGAGCTCCAAAGAGGACTCTCCCTTGAAATATATTGGTAGTTGTCATCGGATTCCGTGTGTATTCCTTCAAGCTACCATAAGGGTTCTATGTTCCTGCCGCTAAAGGAGATTTCAGGGAGGACCAGCAAGAGTTTCCAACTTTGTTGGGTGTACTGTTGCGTAAGACCATAAGAGGCCCGAAGTCAGACCCAAAGGCTCCATGTACTCATATAGTAGGTACTTAGGCCTTAAAGTACCCATATAGAGACCCCTTTAAGGCCTAAGTACCTACTATATGGGTACATGGAGTCTTAGGGAGACACGGGAGACCTTGGGCTTTGTAGTGTAGGGTTTAATGCTTTCGTCACTTGGCCTGTTCAAACTCCCCTCAACCCTAAGCCTCCAAACCCGAAACCCTAGACCCCAAACCCTAAACGCTCAAGGGTTGTGAAACATAGCCTGCCCGACAAGGGCTTTGAGCTCGAGCCACGAAAAAGGCCCTCAAAAAATGAAACCCCAAACTAAGTCCCATGGTCCTCCAAGTAGACCCTAAACCCTAAACCCTGTAGATCCCTTTAAGGAACCCTATAAGGATCCCTTTTTAAGGATTCCTCAACCTTACTTACTAAGTCCCATGGTCCTCCAAGACTTTGAACTCAGGTCTCGGTCTCGGTGCGGATGCCGAGCTTTCCAAGGTCTGAGACTCGGGGGCCTTGTGAGGG